ACCTGAAACAAGCATCTTTCCACTTTGAGAAGGGGAAGTTTGAAATCATCTGTGACGTTTGTAGGCATATTCGCTATGAATAGTAGTCAGACTGAGACAAAAATCAGGATAATTGGTTCAAAAAGAACTCTGTGCACACCATTATGGGTTTTTGTAAACAGTAGAGCGTGATTCTTCATCCCTCTGCATCCTCTCTTATGACACCCTTTAAGCCTTTTAGAAGAATGCAGCTGGCAGGCCAATGCGAAATCTATAGTTCTTAAAAGAAACTTGGCAAGAGAGAAATGTGGTGGCAGTCATTGTGAAAATGCCATCATCTCCTCATGTATCATTTCCCCCTCCCCTTTTAGACTGTAAGCCCCCAGGGGCAGGGCCCTCCTTACCATCTTGTCTTGAATTGTATTGTGATTGTAATGTCTTCCTTATATTGTAAAGCGCTGCGCAAACTGCTGGCGCTATATAAATCTTGTATAATAATATCTGCCTGGCATTGGGTCTGACCCCCTTGCTTCAATAGTTTAAATAAACAGATAAATAATTCTGACTTTCCTGGTTAATAATAATTATGTTATATTCCTGATAACATAACTGTTCCACTTTGGAAAGTGATGGGCCAGCATAGCAGCCAGTCAATTTCACGACAAGACTACTTAAGGCTGGGTTCACACCTGGGCGTATTTTTTCTTCTCGTTTTTTAGCACGCTCGCAAGGGACGGAACCCGGAAGTTGGAAGCCGCCGGAGGACACAGCGGGAAACACGGACAAGGTAAGACCTGTACGCTGTATTCCCGAGTGTGGCTCGGGGGTTACCGCTTTGTTAACCCCGATCCACACTCGGGAATACCAATGGAAACGCGCAGAAAAACGCCCCAAAGAAGCTCCTGTACTTGTTTGGGCGTAGGGCGTTTTTCAGGCGTTTCCACGGGCTGAAATACGCCCAGGTGGGAACCATGCCCATAGGAAATTATGGGATTTCACTGTTTGAGCGTTTTACAGCGCTTCCATCAGTGCTGAAAAACGCTCAGGTGTGAACCAGGCCTAAAGCAAATTGAGTGCTTTGGATTGGCCAGGTTGATCCTGTCTTGCAGCATTGATTTAGCTTACATAGTTGGACACAGGTCCACTGAGTTCAAGCCATATTAAAATTATCTCACCTCCAAGTTGTGTTCAAAGTAGCTGAGATCTCGTGGGTTGTGATTCTCGTAGATCTTCTGGAGGTAATCCTTAAAGGACTTCTCCTCCTGCGATTGCAAAGCCTCCTTGCTCATGTCGTAATGCCAGGCTGGCCGTTTTGGGAAGTCTAACACTGTAAGGGATAATAGGAACATAAAGAAGAAACCATAAGCAAGTTATTCCAGACTCAGAAGACACAGAGAACCACTATAAAAACATAGTGGGGGGGGGGGGGATTTATCAAAACTGGAGCAGACAGAAACTGGCCCATGGCAACCAATCAGCTTCTATCTTCAGTTCGTTCAGTTAGGATTTGAAAATAAAGGAGAGAAGCTGATTGGTTGCCATGCACAGCTGCCCCAGATTTTGTCTGCTCCAGTTTTGATAAATCCACCCCTCAGTGTGTCTTCAATACAAATGCTCTGGCCTCATGCCCAATTGTAACTCATTCCATTCTATTCATTGCTTCAAATTGCCATCTTCTGACTGGCAGCTCCCCAAGGGTTCATGTTCACAGGGATCAGAGACAGAAGCATTCAAATGCTGCATGCCTTCAGGTGTTTCAGAGTTGTTTTGATTTGCCTTTGCTTTAGGATTTGCATTGCCTTGCTTCCAAGTTGCTTTCACATTGATTTATATGTGGGGGAAAAAAAGCAGTTCATATCCCAAAAGAAATGCCAAAGTACATGAGCCCTTAGGTCCTCCTTCATTAATTACCGGTAGTTTCATCTGGTCTACCCCCCTTCTTTCTCATCTCCCTTTAAAAAAAATATATATTTTTTTAGGATTTTTTTTCTTAAATCATCTGATGGCCAAAAAAACTCCAGCTGCCTACAGACACTAACAATCCAGATGCCGGATCATGCGAGATGCATCATTTGAACAATCATTTGTCCCATCCTAATATGAGCTGAAAGAAAGTGCTCTACTCAAAAGGAAAACCAAAACTATCAACCTGGATAGTCCATCAGCTCCACTCCCTACTCAGAAGCCTCGGAGAGGGAGATGTGGGACTGGTCCCTGTGCAGGATGTCTGCTTTCTTTTTCTTCGTTCAAAAATTTATTTATTTTTTTTTAAAAAGGAGAACTATTTGGTTAGGACTTTTCCCCATAGTTCTCCTAAGGGTAACGAGAGGACACAAACTAGCATCCTCCCGTCACCCAAAGCTCAGTATACCGCGAGCTACAGCTCGCGGTATACTGAGACGCCGCAGCAGGAACTGATCCCGACAATTCTGTCTGGATCCACCCAGCTGGGTGAGTGACAGCTGGCTCTGCCTATCTAGAGGCAGAGCCAGCTGTACCCGCCCCCTCCCCCGTCCGTTCCGCCAGTCAGCGCTGGAGGATCGGACAGGGGAGGGGGGAATCCAGTCCCTCCCCTGTCACGTCTCTCTGCACGGATAGATTGAGAAGTGAGCGAGCGCCGGTATGTGTTCGCTCACTTCCCGATCTACTGAGCCGACCTGTGACTGTTTCATTGTCACAGGTTGGCTCAGATTATGAGGCTGAGTGAAAATCACTCGCCTCATAATTCTCCTTTAAGAAATGCGATGGTGTCCCTCTGCATTTCCCTAAAAATATTTCTATTACACCTTATGGTCACCTCAAGAAAAAAAAGGAATATAAATACCCCATTACAAAGTTACCTGATCCAGGTCTGTATATCTTCTCGATATCAACTTCCAGTTCGGTTTCTGGAACAGGTTCCAGAATTTTGTCCTGGGCGATTTTCTTCCTCCTTTCGATTTCATCTTTGCTCTCCCTCTCAAACTGTAGTCGATACCTGCAATACATGCCAAGAGATGCCTCCATCTTTTAATGCAAACCACGAAACTTCATGTGAATTAATACAGCACGTTACGGTGCATCAATCATTTTCAGGACTAAAGGGCACCTATTTCTCATCATACATAAATATAAAGAAAAGGAGACAGGAGGACATATACTAGATCACAGGAGGATGTATACTAGGTCACAGGAGGACATATACTAGGTCACAGGAGGATGTATACTAGGTCCTCCTGTGACTCAAAATGCAGCATATAGTGGGCTATTGTCCGGTATATGCTGACAGCGCAGAGCCGTGCTGCAGCCGGGATGGATCCCGACACTATTGTTGGGGTTCACCCCGCTGGCTGATTGACAGCTGGCTCCGCCTGCCTCTCTGGCCGCCCCCTCCCCTGTCCATTCCTGCAGTCAGTGCTTGAGGATCGGAGAGCCGAGGGGGGAGCAGTGACTTACAGTCACAACTCTCTGCAAAGAGAGGATCAGGAACTCAGCGATCAGCGGTATGTGTTCGCTGAGTTCCCAATTAATATAGTTGACCTGTAACAGCTTCAGTGTCAAAGGTCGACTTGAATTATGGGGATGAGTGTATTTCACTAACCCCATAATTCTCCTTTCATTACTAAATGCTGAGACATTGTAATGCTTTTACCTTCCGTGTTAGTCTGCTTGTATGCATTTAGTTGTGGAAAGCCAGGGGAAGTGTTAGAACCAGTGTCTGGGGAGAGTCTGCCACACTTCCTGTCTCAGAGACACAACATGAAGTAGGTGTAAAGCTCCCCAAAGTGAGGATATCCCACCATTGACAGTGATTACCAGAACAGTCCCCAGCAGGAGATATAACCTGACCCCATGTTGTGCTGGAAACTATAATAGATGGTATGTCCTCTCACTTCCTGCCCATGCCGCAGGTGAATGTCCCTTGGAGTCATTGAAATATACTTATGTACCAATAACGTGGAGCTAAACACCATACATTACCTGTTGGGGTCATAGCCTTTTTCTCCAGGTTTAAGAAGCTGCGGCTGCTGGTTGATTCGTCTTACTTGAGGTCGGACGGTCTCGCTGTCAGAGGTGTCCGTATTTTCCTCTCCCCGTTCTCTGCTCTGGCTTCGACTGTTTGACTCGGACCGCCCGGCTTCCAGAGGTCCTGTACAGAGGATAATAAAGTATGTAAAGGAAGAGGGACATGTGTCCGTGACATCCGAGAGAAAATGTCAAGACTGCATGTAATAATTCACACAATATGTATGCCCAACACCACTGCGTCTCCTAGTATACATGAAGCATTCTTTGTCTGTGTACTCCAATATCTGCCGATTTCCACTTCCATACGAATCTCCACAGTCCTGTTTTCTGTGAAAAGCAATTGCTGTTGTGCCCGAAGCACAACATGGTCCGCTCTGTATATAATGATCATTACAGTCCGCTCAATAGTACATAACGGTCACCACGGCCAGCTCTATAGCTAACGGTCACCACGGCCCGCTCTATAGCTAACGGTCACCACGGCCCGCTCTATAGCTAACGGTCACCACGGCCAGCTCTATAGCTAACGGTCACCACGGCCAGCTCTATAGCTAACGGTCACCACGGCCAGCTCTATAGCTAACGGTCACCACGGCCAGCTCTATAGTTAACGGTCACCACGGCCGGCCCTGTGGATAACGGTCACCACGGCCGGCCCTGTGGATAACGGTCACTACGGCCCGCTCTATGGATAATGGTCACTATGCCCCGCTCTATAGATAATGGTCACTATGGCCCGCTCTATAGATAACGGTCCCCTCTATATATAAGGGTCGCTACGGTCCGCTCTATATATAAGGGTCGCTACGGTCCGCTCTATATATAAGGGTCGCTACGGTCCGCTCTATATATAAGGGTCGCTACGGTCCGCTCTATATATAAGGGTCGCTACGGTCCGCTCTATATATAAAAGGGTCGCTACGGTCCGCTCTATATATAAGGGTCGCTACGGTCCGCTCTATATATAAGGGTCGCTACGGTCCGCTCTATATATAAGGGTCACTACGGTCCGATATATATATAGATATATATATCTATATAATGGTCACTACGACCCGCTCTATAGATAATGGTCACTATGTTCTGCGTTGCCTTTGTGGAACACATATTTACATTTTCTACAAAACCCCAGAAGTCAGCACTCACCCCTCTTCCGCTCCCTTTTGTCTTGCAGCTGCTTCTTCTTCTGCTTGGTGCTGAACGGCTTCTTGCGCGGCATCTTTAACTGTCTGTTAAAAACCTAATGCCTGCAAAGCACTATGAACGATTTGAAGGCCTCTCCCGGCAGACTCGGACAATGCCAATATTTAAATAACTCTTCTGAAAAATCCTCAGCTAGACGTCAATATAAATAACGATTTCAAAGGCAGATAAGAATTTCTGAAGAGAAGACGTTCCAAACGTTGTCCTGCTCGTTGCCGGTCTAGGACTTACCAACGTCCAAGGTTTATATGGCCCCCCAGACTGTCAATCACCTGGTGAGCATCTCTAAACATGAATACTAAAGCTTGGTCGGAATGAGTAGGTCCTTCTACCTTTCAGGTTTCATGGGAACATCTAAAGGATTTGGTGACCCTCCAGATTTTGGTCTCCAGGACTAAATGGTAGAGATGATGATGGCCAGTGAACTGTCCCTGCAGAGGTAGTCCCTGAATTAAACACTAGCCTCCTACAGAAAGACCCGATTGTCCAAATAATGGCGTTTTGTGCTAATGGTGGTCCTTCCAGGACTGATTGGTACAATACACATTGGTCAATTAGCTGTCCATGCAAAAGCAGTCCCTTAAAGACAGGCCTGGTCCTCCAAATTCAGGCCTTTTGTGCTAAATATGGTCCCTCCAGGACTGAACTCTCTGCAGTCCAATAAAGAGTCAGCTTGCTCTCCCTGCAATGAACAATGGCCTTCTGCAGAAATAACTGACCCTCCAAATTCAGGCCTTTGGTGCTAATGATGGTCCTCCCAGAATTTACCTTGCTGCAGTTTGCACTGGTCCCTCAGCTGTCCCTGCAGGACTGACCCTTTACTCCAGGCCTAGGCTGGCAGCAATACCCCCTCTAGGATAAGGCCTCATGCCCACTGTTCTAGCTTCTCATGCCCTTAGTGGGTGGGGGGTCTTCTACTTCTACAGGGGACCCCTCTCCTCCTCGGCCCACTCAAATATGCCAGACTAAAACTTGCCACTGGGTGGTAAGAACAACCCACTAAAGTAACGAGTGGGACCAACAATGTGGCTCTCTCAGTTCTGGCAACAGGAAATGCCCCTCGTGCGTTCCACCTCAAAGTCATTAGCCAATCAGCGCTCGGTGTGCGTGCCACGCCTCTCTTCGCTCCCGAAGGCCGGGCAATGAAGAGTGTTCGGTGTCAGCGTCCTTGTCAAGTGACCTCGGCTAACCAACGAGGAAGAGCCTACGAGGGAACCCAATGGGAAGTCACAATGCTTTTCAGGCCTCTGGATCGAGGGGCGGGGAAATAGGCGTTTCACGCCTCGCTTTGGTTTGACAGTGGTCCAATCGGTGGCTTCCGTGACCTTCAGTGACGCGCATCGAGCTCGTGTTCACCAATAGCGCGCCGTCTTTCGTAGGAAAAGGCGGATGGAGAGTGGTGATTGGTCGGCGAGGCTTCTAGGCAGGCTGTGTTCGCCGGCTTCTCCGTGAATTGTCTCCGCGCCACGTGAGTGGAGAGGGATCGGCCGGAGAGCGGAGCGTGACGTCAGCAAGATGCCCAGAAAACAAGACCTGGAGGACGAGGAGGAGGAGAGGGGGAAGGAGTCAGGTGAGGGGGAAGGAGTCAGGTGAGGGCGGCATGACTCCGTAGGGGGACCCCAGATCTTATCCAGTCTTTCCATCCAGGATAGGCTTCTCCTATAAGGGTAGGCCATGGCCCCACCATAACCAAGACTTCCCTGTGCCTGGCCTTACATGATAGGAGAATCTTATCCCCCTGAGAGTTTAAGTTTAACCTCCAGGCAAGGAAGTACATATCTGCGAGCTGCTTTCATGTCTAACTCTGTTCAGCGAGTCTTGTGAACAAGGCACTCCTGCCAGAAAGGGCCCTGGACCACTCAGCTGACTACACAGCAGTAGGCCTGGTCCAGGGCCCGCCCTCAGCCTGTGATTGGACAATAGAGAAGCAGTGGTGTAGTGAGGAGGACATACCTCTGCCCGCTCCCCCCTGAAAACCAACAAAGCTGTGATTGGCTTAGAGTGCGCTCACAAACTGCTGGGTAGTGGATGACAGGAGGCTGACATGAAGACAGATTCAGGGACTTGTACTGACTGGAGGTGAAAATAAATTCTCCATTTGTTTATAAAATGAATATGTAACATTTGTATATTTCTGCCCCGAGTTCACCTGTCTCCTGGTGGCTAGCGGTCCACCCAACCCGCCTTGCCCCCAAGGCCTGTCTCCTGCTGGCTGGCAGTCCACAGCCCAAATAAACCCTCGGCCTGTCTCCTGGTG